GTACACCTAGGACAGGGTAATCCTGGTCAGACACACAAACTGGGGGAGGAGAGCCTGGAGAGGAGTCCTGTGGAAAGAGATCTGGGGGGTTGGGATGACAGCCAGTTGAACAGGAGTCAGCAGTGTGCCCTGGTAGCCCAAAGGACCAACCGTGTCCTGGGGTGCATCAAGCACAGCACAGAAATCTGGTCAAGGGAGGTGATTGTCCTACTCTGCACTGCATGGGTGCCCACCTAAAGTGCTGTTTGCAGTTTGGGGCACCTGAATAAAAGAAGGACAACACACTATCAGAGTGTGTCCAGTGGAGGGTGACCAAGATGGTGAAGGGTCTCGAGGGCAAGACTTACAAGGAGCGACTGAGGTCACTTGGCTGGTGCACCTTAGAGAAGAGAAGGATGAGGGGAGATACCATCACAGTCTACACCTTCCTCAAGGGAGGCAGTGGAGGTGCTGATCTGGTGACCAGAGACAGGACACGAGGGAATGGGATGAAGCTGCATCCGGGGAAGTTCAGGTTGGACATCAGGAAAAGGTTCTTCACTGAGAGGGTGGTTGGTCACTCAAACAGTCTCCCCAGGGAAGTTGTCATGGCACCAAGCCTGTCGGGGTTCAGGGAGTATCTGGAGGATGCTCTTAGTCATATGGTTTAGTGGTAGGGAGTCCTGTGAGGAGCAGGGAGTTGGACTTATGATCCTGATGAGTCCCTTCCCACTTGAGATATTCCATGATTCTATGATTCTGGGTGCTACTGGAAGGCATGTAAAGGACAATGTAACCATTGGGCACAGTCAACATGGGCTCACAAAGGGAAAGTCTTGTTTAAACAATTTGAGACATTCTATAACTCTGAATTTATGACTTGTTCCTTTAGATTCCTCTCAGCTTGCCAGCTGCTGCTCTGAGCTTCAGGCAGTTAAAAGCTTTTCTGTCTTTCAGTAGTCTAATCGTCTCCTTAGCCAACTCTTCAATTACGTTTCTCTCTCTCTTTTTCAATCCACCTATTTAAAATATTTCTCATAAGATTATCTCTTGCAGAAAGGTGACCTCATTAGAGGCAGCTTGTACTTAGCATATGGCTGAGGAGTGTGCTTTATTGTTCATAAAAACTGATCATGCTTTAATTTTATTTCCTGGAAAATAGGTAAAATTCTTTTGTGCCTGTGTGCATTCAGTTCTCTAAGGAGAGCAGGGGGGAGATGGCGCAATGGAGCTGTAACATCCAGCTGCAGACTTCAGTGGAGAAGCCTGATGCAAGGAAGAGTGATTCATTCATTCAGATCATTCTTTCCCAAGTGACCAAGGACAGAAATAGTGAGGTTGGGGAGCTGAGGAGCAAAGTTGTCCATACAGTGTCAAACCTCAAGGGACAGTTTCTCCTACTGCTTGAAACCTCCTCAAGAAACTCTCTGCATCAATGCCAACTGGAAAGTTCTGCAATCACGTCTTTGGTAGATCGAAAAGTAATGGAAAATGCCCTTTAAAAAGCAAAAGCCCTTCTTTATTAAATGCTCATTGAAATCCACCTCTTGAACTACACTATGAAATGTCTCTAATCACCTGTACAGGGCTTGAAGACTTGAAGAAAATTAAAGGAAAAGACATGGCTCATTATGGCTTTCTGTATTTTAATAAGCCCCACGGTGTATTTGGGGCTGAGTCCATGAAGCTCAGATACACAGAGAGAAGACTGAAAAAGCTGCTCAAGAAGCCAGAAGTAAAACTCAAAGTACTTTGAAGCATTAATGGGCCCCAGTGAGGGCCATTACTGACAGAGCCTCCCCAGGGACTCGTTAGAGCAGATAATTGGAGTCCATACTTGCAGGGAAGCAAAGGCACTGTGCAAGTGGCTGTAATGATGAGAAAACCCTTGCTTTGTTTTATAAATCAGAAAGGCCAAGCCCTTACCCCCCAGGCATTGGGAAGGCAGATCCTGTCCCTCCTGCATGGCTCAGGCCTCTTTCTGGAGGCAGTGGATGTGAGGGCGAGCAATGCCCAGTGTAGAAAAATTCTCTGACACCTCCTGGCCTCCCTAAGAAGGGCTGAGGAGGAAACCAAGAGCAGAGCCTCCAAATCCAGTTTCTCCTGGTGGCCTCAGTGGCAGATGCAACTGCCCTAGCCAAGGGGACAAAGACCTTGGTCTTGTGTGGCCTTTCAGCCTTGCCAGAGCCCTTGCCCATTGTGACTGCAAACTGTCCCACACTGTCCCATGCCTGCAGCTCTTTCTTTCAGGCTGTAGACATCCATCTTGCTTTACCACCTGCTCTCACCCTGACATTTCTAGACCTTCCCTGATATCTCTCTACACATCGTTGGCTGTTCCTTCAAAGACAAAACCATAGGCTGATCAAGACTCCCTCTCAGTGACCTCTTGCACCAAAAGGATACCCTCTGAGCGAGACTTCTTATTCATCACCTCAAGTCTGAACCTTCTGAGCTGCACTATGAAAAGTTTTCTCTCTCTTCCCACTGCCAAGAAAAGTTCCATCGTCTCTGAAACCACCCTTCAAGAAGTTGCATGGTACTACTATAGAGCCCTGAGCCTCCACTTCGCCAGGACAAGCTGAGAAGCACCAAATGAGGGTACAAAGGAAGCCAAAATAGCACCAGGGAGGTAGAGAGATGGGCTGTTTGCATGGGGGGTACAAGGATGGTGTTGCAGATGGGAGGGAGAGAGAAGCAAAAATCTATTTTATGGATATAAACCAGTGAGGTAACAAGGTTCAATGATAAATGTGACCATTGATTAACAAGTTTCGATGGCAAGGTACACTTGGTTATTTACTGCATAGAGGACAGGGTCAGATAAAACTGTCAGGGAGACCCTCCCATTGAATCATGAGGTTCACAAAGGACCCCCTTGCTTTCTAAACTCCTTCCTCAGAGAGGAGTCTAGGTGCAGCTGGACCCAATCCTAGTCCCAGACTTGTTCACTGGTTTATTTCTAAAGGATTAAGTATGTGCAATCAATTGCTTATATCACTTAGCTAAGGTTTCAAAGTTTACCATGCTGTTAGTTACTGTTGTGGCAAGGAATCTCTCAACGTCGAGGAGTAACCTTGAGAGGCATCCCTGCTCAAGGGGAGATCCTGGCGTGCAGCCCGATGCCATGCAGGAGAGCTCAGAGGGCTCTTGGGCTGCTCACTATTGATGGGGGTAAGATGAATGACTCATAGTCGTGTTTACACAGTGACTGCAGGTGTTGGTTTCTTCCAAATTTAACTTGGGTCAGACACTGCCCAGCACTGTGGTTAGGTGGACACAGTGCCATAAATTAGCTCTGGCTACTGGGTTCTTACCTGTCTCCCCTGAATCCCCTTGGAGCTGGATGCATCCATCAAGACTAGATGCATCCATCATGACCGCTACTGGCGGTTATCACTTGAGCAGGGTGATGGGAAAATGTCAAGTGAGGGGCAGGGCGCAGAGCACACCACCACACTATGTTCCTGCTGCTGGCCTATCTTCTCCAGAGACAGAACTGACCTCACAGGCCCCTTCACAGCCATATGCTTCCTACTGGATTATGAGTTTCTGAGACACAATTGACCTCATCATGCCATACCCATCCATCCTGCTCCTTATGGCCCAGGGCCTGACCAGAGAAAACTATGCTTGCTTTATCAAATTTATCAAAGATATTTCCTACTAATGATTTGAGAGGAGAAACATTCTTCAGAGGAACTGCTGCATTTCTGTTGACACATTTTATAGCTCTTCTGCCTCTTTTAAATTTTTTTTCTATTTCCTCCAGCCATTCTGTCTTCAGAAACCTCTCCAAGGGAAAGATTCACTGAGTCATAGAATAACTCAGGTTTGAAGAGAGCTCTGAACATCACCTTGCCTCACTCTCCTGCTCAAGGCAGGGTGAACCAGATGATGCTGTTCAAGGCCTCCACCCAGATTTGCATCATCCACAAAGGAGCTGAAAGTGAACTCCAACAGATCCTACAGGGCGATGATAAAGATGTTCCACAGTGTTGGCCCAAGTGCTGGTCACTGAGGGCTGCCACTAGTAGCTGCCTGCTCAGAGGACTTTTGACAAATGGCTGATGACATTTGGGCCTGATTGTCCAGCCAGCTTCACACCCAACATCCACTTCTTCAGCCCAGATAGCACTAATCTGGTGATAAGGACACCACGGGAGGCCATGTCAAAGGCCTTGACAAATTCCATGTACACAGCATGCCTTTCTTCCCCCTGCCCATTCTGGTTCAGCAATCCCTTTGTTGTCCTTCAGGTGCCTGGAAATGGTGCAGGAGGATGTGCCCCATCCCCTCCCCAGGGAGGGATTGACCAGCCTGCAATTCTGCCAATTCTCTTTCTTCTTTTTCTTGAACAGGGGATTGACGTCTCCCTTTTCCAAGGACCCCAGAACCTCTCTGATTGCTCTGACCTTTTAGAGAGCACAATCCAGAATCATGGGCAAGGGTGGCATAGCAGACAGGAGGACTTGCAATGAGCCTGTCCAAGGCAGCTGCAATGAAGCTTACTGGCCAATGAGGTTCATTCTGGGATGTACACACAGAAATGTCAGGGTTCTGTCAGGCGTCCACATCTGAGCTGGCCTGGTGGACTCCTGATGCACCCAGGGGAGTTCAGCGTCTTGGCCTTTGTCACACAGAGGCAGTGCGCTGCAAAAGCCTCAGCGTCTCTCTGGCCTCCTGCTGCCACTCCCAGAGACTGGGAGGCACCCAGCGCTGGTGCTGCCTGGTAGTGCTGCCATGCTGGTACTCTTTTCCCCTCTACCTATGCATACAGGAATTGTCCCTGAATCTCCAAAAAAGCCTTGCAAAAAGGATCTCAGAAAAAAAAAATTTGCTGAAGGGCCATTTATTTTGTTCAAACACATGAAGGAAGCAGGAATTTTCATTTACTCAGCAACTCAGTCAGGAAAGCAAAGCAGACAGTGAATAAGAAAGCGGATGACAATTTTATCAGAAGTAAAAAAAACCACCTCAAAACCCAAAAAATACAGAACACAGGCTGGGCCTGCAATGACTTATATTATAACCACTATGCCGTATTTTATTAATTCAGAAAAACATCCGGTTATCTGTTTCCACACTGCATCCTTAAGCTCTTGATTCCTCATGCTGTAGATGAGGGGATTCAATGCTGGAGGCACCACTGAGTACAGCACTGCCACCACCAGATCCAGGGATGGGGAGGAGATGGAGGGAGGCTTCAGGTATGTAAACATGGCAGTGATCAAAAACATGGAGACTACGACCAGGTGAGGGAGGCACGTGGAGAAGGCTTTGTGCCGTCCCTGCTGAGAGGGGATCCTCAGCACAGCTCTGAAGATCTGCACATAGGAAAGCATGATGAAAATAAAACACCCAAGGGCTACCAAGAGACTGACCACAAGAAGCCCAACCTCCCTGAGGTAGGCATCTGAGCAGGAGAGCTTGAGGATCTGGGGAATTTCACAGAAGAACTGGTCCACAACATTGCCCTTGCAGAGGGGTACGGAGAATGTATTGGCCGTGTGCAGGAGAGAGTTGAGAAAGCCACTGCCCCAGGCAGCTGCTGCCATGTGGACACAAGCTCTGCTGCTCAGGAGGGTCCCGTAGTGCAGGGGTTTGCAGATGGCAATGTAGCGGTCATAGGCCATGACAGTGAGAAAAGAATACTCTGCTGCAACCAATAAGGCAAACAGAAACACCTGGGCAGCACAACCTGCATAGGAGATGGCCTTGGTGTGCCAGAGGGAATTGGCCATGGATTTGGGAACAGTGGTGGAGATGGAGGCCAGGTCAATGAAGGAGAGGTTGAGGAGGAAGAAGTACATGGGCGTGCGGAGGTGGTGGTTACAGGCTATGGCGGTGATGATGAGGGTGTTGCCCAGGAGGGCAGCCAGGTAGATGGCCAGGAAGAGCCAGAAGTGCAAGAGCTGCAGCTCCTGTGTGTCCATAAAGACCAGGAGGAGGAACTGGGTGATGGAGCTGCTGTTGGACATTTCTTTCCTCTGGGAATGGGGCACCATCATACTAGAAAAAGGCAGAGATAATTTAGGGGACATTTCTCCAAGGAAAACCAATGCCGTTTCCCATACCCCCTCCCCCTGTTACATACACCCTTTTCCAGGAGACCTTCCTTCTTCTCCGTGGCAGCAGCTCTGGCTTGTGCTGGCCATGTGTGCTGTGAGGAGCAGGGCCTCTGCCTGCTGATCTGCTGAGGAGTCAGCCCTGCTCTGCAGCAGTGAGCTCACGAGAACCGTGGCAGCAGAAGTCAGTCCTGGTGTTTGATTTTGTAAGATGAAGCTACTCCTAACATTGAAGGGCCTGTGAGCATCTGCATCCCCAGTGCTAAGGAACTAGAGTGGTAGCAGGCAGTTGGAGAGATTTGGGGTTTTTTAAAACTCCTCCTCCCCTCCCACTCTGGGGAGTGTTTTTGAATGTCAGAAACCCTCAGCATCTCTGCTGAACTCAAAGAGAGCAGAGCAAATGCTGCAAGGCAAGAAAATTGCCTATGGCTTAATGCAGAGTGAGGGGAGCTGCTCTGTCCCTTCATCTCTCTCGCAGCTTCCCTGGGCTTGCAGCTTTCTGAGGCGGAGAGTGATTGCACTCCCACGCTTTCATGAAAAGCACTGCTGAGAGTGGAGGGATCCACCACAAGCCACTAAATGTCTCACCCTTTCTCAAGGTCTCAGCACCCCTAGTCTAGCTCAGGACACATGTGGCTCATTTCCCCAGTGCAAGAGCATTTCCTCCACCAAAGCATTTCTGTGCTTCTCAATGGGAGTTTCAGATTAAAAAAAAAAAAAAAAAAGGTGTTATGGGACAGGTTTGCATCCTGGAGGGAAGCTCACAGCTTGGGAGGACGCCTCAGGGAGACAGCCAGTTTTCCATATGTTGGTATGTCATTAAGAAAGATTCAGGTCATAACTCAGCCCCACAGACTGCATTGACCAGAACTCCACATATGCTAGGAAAGCTTGGACACTTGTTCCTGTGCACAGAAATGCATGAAAGGACCCACAGGATCAGTGTATGACTCTGCAGCTGAAACTTCACTTCCCCAGAGAGCCTGGCAGTAGGAATGAAGTTATAACAACAATATCACAGACTTCTGGAGAAGACAGTGATGGATTGTCTGGGAGAGGCCATGGCAGAGGCAGGAGGTCCCCAGGCAACGTTACCCTGCCCCAGCTCTGCACGCCACCTCCCAGGCACCACCATGGCCGGGTAGCTGCTAGCAGCCCCTGGGCTCTGCAGAGGGAAATGGCCACGGGGCTGGAGAGCTGCCCCACGGCTCTGCTGGAGCTCTGGCTGCAGAGGAGATGCTTCACGCCTTGGAGCCCCCAGCCCTGAGGGCAGAGGCTTTGCTGGCTGGGAGAGGAGGCCAGGGGGCTTGCTCAAAGGAAAGGCTCAGCATTGCAGGGCATCATATGGCGTTTTCTCCCTCCCACAGCATTTCCAGGTTGAGATTCCTTTCATTCCCTGATCTGTGCTGCCTGGAGGTCCTCACCCTGGGAGGTGTTTCCATGTCACATGTCTTTTCCCTGTCAGCGTTCACAGACCCCATCCCAACCTCTGTGCCCTCACTTTGGCCGTACAGAAGCCTGCCTGTTTGCAGGGCACTGCCTGGGTGAATATTCCTTTTGGCAAGTGGAAAAACTCAGAGTTTAAGAACCCTGATTGTCCAGCAGAGGTGATGCTGGTGCTGGCCAGAGGAAGAAGTGTGGCTGAAAGCACTTTACCAGGCTCTCTTAAGTCATAATAATCACTCAAAGTTGCACTTCAGGAGTCTCAGTGACTTCCTAAACATCAGAGTTCATTTTCAATTTATCCTTTACTCTCCCCCTCCCTACTCTCCTGGAACAGGAAAATGGAAAGACAGACTCAGGCTCCTTACCTTTATAGGAAGCCCTGCTTTTGTCTTCTCCTTAAGACATCCCCTTGGAAATATTCTGGAGGTGATGTGGAGCTGTGAGCTGCCCTGACACAAGGAACACCCTCTCAATAGCAGAAGGACCCTTCCCTGCTGGGGGTTTCTCCTTCCACCCAGCATCTCCTCACAGTACCGTGGTCACTTCCCAGGCAGTCTGAGTGCTGATCCTGGCAGGAGACAGAGTCTTTGCCCCAGAACACAGTCCTCATGGACACAGTGACCCTGCTTAGAAGGACAACCCTGGAAACCCACCCATGCACATCTGCCTTTACAGCCCTGCTGCCATTGGGAGAAGGCAACCGTCATGTTCTGTCCCTCTGATGGTGCAGCAGGCATGTCCCTGCTCTGCAGCTTGTCCTCCTCCTTTACACTAGAGAAACTGTGAGAGTTGTACTCACAGATACCATCATCTGTGGGATGTGCCACCTTTAGAAGCTCCCTCCAGGAACTGAAGCTGCATTGCCCTGCAGCCAGGGACTTACCACATAAAGGGCTGTGAAGATTTCTTCTGCAGTGAGCATGTCCAGACTGTGTTTAACCACTCCAGGCTGCCTTTAACCTCTCTCTGCCCCACTCCTCTCCCCTCGGTGCCTGCAGGCAGTGCCCTCAGCCCTGCTGCGCTTTGCAGAGGAGCTGCTCCTGGACAGAGCTGTCTCTCTGCAGCGCTGCCCACTTGCCATCAGCTCCCTCCATCCCAGGAGCCCAGCCCAGCTCAGCAGCAGAGGACCAGCCCAAGGCAGCACTTGCTCTGCCCCCTCGGGGCTCCCTCCAGGTGTCCCTGGGGCTCCAGGGGAACCTGCTGTGAAACAGGCTGAAGTCATCCCTGATGTTCCCTCCCTCACCTGCGGAAAGACACTTTCCTGCAGTGTCATTGCTATTATTAGTAGAACAGCTGGACATGAACATCTCTTTTCTTCGCAATCTTTAGACAGGACACCAGGAAGGCCACAAGGAATGTTCTAATTTCTCCAAGCTGGGGGGATGTGTTCTGTTGAGTGCATGTAGGAATTTCATTATGGGTTTGCAGTTATAGGGCTAGAAATACATGCAGCTGTCTTTTGTCCATGCCTTGTCTCTGCTCTGAAACAAAGTCTTTGCAGAGATGGGTTCATGGATGCTTCATACCAGGTTCCTTATGGCAAGTCAGAGCTTGCCTGGTTCCACAGCTGTAGGGCTTCAGCCCAAATGTGCAGCAATGCCCTCAGCCAGGGGCACAAATGGGAAGAGCTGGAGCTGTTCCTGAGGGGACAGAGCTGTGACGGTTTCAGAGCTCAGTACCACTGGTCTGCAAGGACAGCAGCCTCCAAGCTCAGCAAGGGTACAGATCGAAACTCCATCTGACCTTTAAAGTCAACTGAAGGGCACCACAATGAGTGTGTGCTACTGAAGGAGCAGTTAAGGGAGAAACACAGACACTGTGTGACCACTGCTGAATTCAGTAAGAGCCGATGTAGATAGACCTGAGCTTCTCCGTGTCCTCTTTGCCTCAGTCTCTCCCAGCAAGGCCCCCCAGGCCTCTGTGACTCAGGGCAGGGCTCTGGAGGAGATCAACAAGCGGTGGATGGGGATCAAGTCAGGGATCACTTGAGCAAATGCAATGCTTACCACTCTCTGGGAGAGGAGGGGCAGCACCCCAGGGAGCTGAGTGAGCAGGCCAATGTCACAGTGAAGCCACGCTCCATCACCTCTGAAAGGTCACAGAATCTGTGGGGACTCCCTGACAACGGGGGAATGCACCAACAGGCTGCAGGCACCTTTTGAAAATGCCCAAAGGCTGTACAGAGGAACGAAAGGCTGTGCCCCAGAGCGTGTTCCCTCGGATTCCATTTCTGGATATCTGAAAGAGAAGGGGACTGGATTTATCCAGGGTCACTTGTCTCTTGCCATCATCTCTGCTTTCTGAGATGAAAGGACAGGATTGCTGGACACAGGCAGACCAGCAGTTTTCTTTTAACCTGGAAGACAGTGAAGCTTTATACATCACCACTTGCAATATTCCTGTGCCCATGTGAGGTCATTATGGTCTGCCTGGGTAGATAAGTAGATGGGTAAATAACTAGATTAATAGTGGGCCTTGTAGGAACATGGTCAATGGGCGGTACCTGCCTGGAAGCCTGTAGCTGATGGGCTTGCCATATCCTGCAATACACTCCATAGACTGCAACCTGCACCCTATAATGTGTTTTTAATTACCCGGAGGAGATGAGAGAGAGATTTTTCAGAGCATTTGTAGATGACACCACATTGAGGAGAGCAGACACTAAGCTCTAGGGCAGGGTGGCCATCCCAAAGGACAAAGAGAAGCTGGAGTAATGGGCCCATATGTACATCAGGATAGCCAATAAGTTGTGCCCTCGAGGTGGACAAAGCCCTTGCAACTGCATAGGCCAGAGACTGCCTAGGTGGGCAGCAGCTCTGCAGGAAAGGCTGTGGTGGTCCTTGGGTTACGTTAGGCAAAAAATGAGTAATCGGGAAAGAAGGCCAACAGCCTCCTGGGCTGTATGAGCTGGACCACAGCCAGTCTGCTCAGCATTTTTTACACCACATCCAGAATATTTTCCTAGGTTTTGACATTGAGAATGCCAGATGTTGACAAACTGGAGCCAGTTCATTGGAGGGCCGTCAAGGTCAGCAGGGTGGGAGAACCTGTACTGTGAGAAGAGGCTTCGAGACCTGGGCTTATTCCAAGAGGAGTAGTGAATAGAGGAGTAGAGAAGAACATGTAGCAGAATTGCACAGTTCCCAGGGAGACAAAGTCAGGCTCATGTCCATGACACAAGGACAAGTGGCAGTGGGCTGAAACAAGAGAGGGTCAGGCTGGATATAGGGAAAAACTTTTCCAGCAGAAGGACAGTCAAGTGTTGGAAGCTGTTTCCCAGGGAGCGTGCACTGGCTCTATCCCAGAATGTGATCAAGATGTGTTTGGATAAAGCCCCGAGTAATCTGTCTGACCCTGCTTTGAGCAGGAGGTTGGTCAAGACACCTCCCATGATCCTTTCCAGCCTGGATGATGAGGTCCTTCTCTCCCCTCCATGATTTCAAATTAGGTGGAATTCTCAGGTTCTCCCTGAACCCAAAAGT